GAGAAGCAGTGTGATCCAGCAAAGAGTGCTGTGGTATGTGTGGTGTTATCATCAGGCTGCAGAGTGCTCAGGAAAAAGAGGCCCCAAACATGTTACATAACACAAATGGACTCTTGGGAACTGTCAGAAGCTGGAACTTGAACTATTCCAGCTGAGTGATGACTGTGAGCTTATGTGTTAAATGTTAACATAAATGAGACTATTACAAGGTAAATCAAAGTTTGTTTGTTTGGATTTTTTCAGAATTTTTTCACATCTGGAAAGTATGATATTTCACAGTTCACAATTATAAGGTGAAAGGTCATCTTGGGGTAGTCAGCTGGTAAAGCACACAGTTATGAATGCTGGGGTTCTTGTAACTTCATTCATTTGTATTAAGAAATTATATTTTTGCCACTGTCGATTTGTCTTTTTGGAAATAATCTTTTTGGCTTTGGAGAAACCCTTTTCACATTGGCACTGAGGAAGCAGGGCTGCACAAGTATTCCACAGCAAGCCTGAATAGCTCAACACTCAAAATTCAGACGTCATCACTGACACCATTCGCCCTTAAAAAAACCCAGCCTCGATACCCTTGATAAGAAAACGACCTAGGGTTCTTGACATATGCTGCAAAGTCTCGGCACAGAGTTAACCATCACTAGGTTGCAATGAAAGACCAAATTGGCGGATGTTGCCAAATAGCCATGGGTTTTAGTTTCCTTAGGTCCTATTTAACATTCTAAGTTTGTCTTCATATTGTTTTCTTTTTCTTTTGTGGTACATCCCATCAGTCTAAGCGGCTTTGTTATATATGGCGTTATTTTTGTGCCATTATTCTGAGTGCACGTAAAGAAATTTTGAGCGCACGTAAAAAAAATTTTGAGCGCATGTAAAAAACATTTGCAGATGCACAAAAATAATGCCATAGTTATAAGCATTTGTGAATAAATTGGACATCAGGTGAAGATAATTCCTGCCTCCAAGTGTTCTTCCTTCACTGGATCTGTATCCCTCTTACAGAGAGCCACAGTGTATGCCACAAGGAACCTTCTGCTGCATGTAGCTAAGAAATACAGACCCAGAGGGAAGCTGCTTTGCCCGCCCAAGAAAGACTCTTCAACAATATGAGAGAAATGAAAGAAACTGATTTAAATAAGTTTTTAAAGCTCACCACACCAACTCATATTTTTTCCTTTTCAACCAGAGCAAAACAACTCCTTTAACTCTCACCCACTTCAACTGTGCAAACAGGGAACTCAAGGTCCAAAGCAGTTTGGGCATGAAGTTTAACTGGATATTGAAAAGCATTTATAGAACACCTTTCTAGTCTTACTGAGCACTCAAAGCATTTCAGTATGTTTAAAATGTTTCATTTTATGGTGTCTTGTCACTATTCTCTCCTAAAGTCTGTAAGAGTTATTTAGTCATGACCCAAAGACACGCTGTGATGTATTTGTAACAGAAAACAATTTTACATTTAAAGGAATAAGACTCATTTTAAATTTGCTCAGTAAATTGATTCTGGCAGCCATTTTTAGAATTAATTCTGCTGTGAATTCTTATACTAGATTTGTATTCAGTATTATACAACCACTTATCTATCTGTTGATAGGTTGATAGGTAACATGTAATCTTTTGCAGTCCAGAGAAATTTGTTTTATCATGAAAGGAAATTGCATTTCTAATAGTTGTAAAATGATGCAAAGTTCACAGAACAGTTTGATTGGCAAAGAATTGTAAAGTCTAATAGATAAAAATAGATAAAAAGGGCAGTTTTATCCACATGTCATCAAACTTTCTTTTTGTTAATTTAATTTCAATACAACATATATTTAAAGAATTTGCCTTATTATAGATAAAGTTTGTATTAGCTAATGGCATTATGTGGCACCTAATTTTCAGTCAGTTGTTATAATGCATGCACATTATTTTTTCAAGGTTGTCTAACCATTATTATGTATTATGTAAGCAAACTTTATTGTTTTATATAGTACTTTTCACAGATAAAACTCAAAGTGCTTCACAGTAAAAGACAAGAAATAAAAGTACAACAACAGTTAGCACT